TGCAGACTTTTAGGGTAAATTTAAACTTTAGCGAGTACTATATTTTGGCAGGTAAAGCTAGACTAGCTATTAGATCGTGAGGATATCATGTCGCTGAAATTTAATTGAAAAGAAATTAAAACACATTTCTTCTGTATAGTTCAAGCTTAAAGATTTGTACAAGACCAATGATTACACATTACACTATGTAAACACAAAAATCCTGATGGATAGTAAAAAACTCTAAGTTAAAAAAAAAGAGAGAGAGTTAAAGATCAAAATTAACAAGAAAAAGAGTTCAAGAGTAATCATCGGAAGAGAGAAGCAAAGTGATGCAAAGTCTGATGATATGAAGCTTTCCTCTCTGTTGTCTCATTGTCCTCTTCATCTTCTCCAACCTCTCCTTCATTTTTTCCATCAACTGCCTCATCAATTCCAGATATGTTGGACACCCACATATATACTTACACACGCATACATTTATATACATGCAAACACCTGCACGTACGAACAAAGGAAGAAGCGACAACCCTACACCTATACATTTGAGCTCAACCTCCAACACATTTACAAAGTGTCCAGACACCATGAAACTCTGTCGGAATCCTATATATACATATTGTTTGATAAATAGAATCTTAGGGTGAGTTCCGACTAATCTCTAAAACTTTAAAAAAATAAAGCAATTGATTTAATGCGTCGATATAAGCCATTGAAATTGCAATGAGAAGATTTAGACACTAACTAGTCTTCCAACTCCAAGATGAATCTTCCAAGCGAATCATTCAATCACATATAGGCTTTAAATGATAGCATATAAAAATTCCGCATGATTCAATTAAATTCAGCAATGTTGCTTGTACTATTGATTTGTTATACTATTATACTATAAGATACACATATGTGGAAAGAATAAAGACATATTTATAAACATATGTTATATGAGACAATATCCACTAAGATGTATACAAATTACTTGGGATATAATCTTTTAGAACGATAGATTTATATCTATCGTGGACAACCATGAGTTGTTCAGCTGAAAATGAATTTTACCAATGTATATAAATATGGTTTAAATATGATTTACACCATACAGTTTTGTGTTTGTGGGTGTATGTACAACTATATATACATAGAAATAGCTAGCTAGATATTATCATGGACTATAATAGTATAAATGCAAGTATAACGGATTGGCGCATGGATGGACAGGGTCCACTTGTAGGTTGAAGAGTGAAGCAAGTTCACGTGCTTAACGTCATGCAACTCTCTGAATATTTGCATAAATACACGTTCTTAAGCTCATCTTTCATTTAATTCTGACTCTACTTTTGTCCTCCTCCACTAACTTGTCATTTCTTAACTTTTTCAATTTGGTTTGATTGTCTCAATTAATTAACATTATCTTTTTCTTTAACATTATCTATTTTACACATTTATTCATTCATTTTTCTCAACGTAAATGTATCATATTTTCATATTTGTAGTGTTGATATTAGAGGTTAATTAAAACCAGATTAATTCCAAACCACAAATTTATTGCTATAATTAAAATCCGAGGA